GTGACAGAGCATTCCAAAATGTCAGACATCAAATGGTTGCCACAGGCAGCGTGAAAAATTGCCAAACTTGGGAATTACTTTTTTTTTTTTTTTTTTTCGCTCTCCACGCCGAATTTCGGGTAGCGACGGCGACCATCACAAGTGCCGCGATGCATTTTTGCTCTCGGCAAATTACGAAATCAAAAGCTCCACGGTGCTGTTATCTTTCTTCTTTTTCTTTCCTCAGGTCTAAACAAAGAAGAAAATAATTCGTTGATGAACGGAAAGTTACTATTGGTGTACGCGGCCACGGCACAAACTATAAACTGAGCCGATAAAGTTATAATTATTATTTAATAAACAAAAAAGAGACCACTTTGTGTGGCCGTCACTCAAAGGCAGTTGAGGCGAAGAAGCATTTTACGGCCTTTTCATATCCCGAATCTGTCAGTAAAGACCTCGAGATATCCCGCGGTTGATCTTTCCTCTCAGGAAAGACTGTTTTTGACAGGCCTAACAATAAATCTAAAAAATAATGCGACAATAAAAAATAAAAGAACAACACTCCATGCTACGCGACCGGCGCGTCGCCGTGCGGCCGTTACCGTAGGTAGGCTGTGAGTTCACCAGCGAAGCGAAACTGGCGGAACCGCGCCGCGTACACTGGTAGGTACACAATGAAGCCAGAGAGGTGCGGTTGTACTGGGTTGGCCGGTATATATGAACTGCTTCGTCGCTAAGTGCTCCAATAGTCATGTGGCGTGTCTCGCGGGGACAGAGTTTCATAGTTTTCCAACTCGCCGTTGTTTTGTGGGGCAGGCACAGCGATGGACCCACGCCGTATGGCGCTATAAATTTGGTCTGCCGAATATGTCTGCCTCTGTGTCGGCACTGCTGATATGTTCCACACTGCCGCTTTGTGCGTTGTGTTTGCTTGTTTTTTTTTTTTTTTTTTTTTCTTGTTGTTTTTTTTTGCCAGTAACGCCTATGTAAGTTAGCGCCGATGGGACGAACTGAAATATACCATCCCACACTTGCTTGTATGTAGTGCCCATTTCATTAGAGGGAGGCCCTCCGAAGACGTCTCGTCCCCATTGCACGTGTCGATGATAGTTCCGGACCAGTATGGCGTGCAGCCTGTACCCCCTAAAGGAAGAGTCGGACGGTACACAAAGAGATAATTGAAAATCAAACGAAAAGTACGACCAAACTTGAAATCACTGGACAATCGACGTTTGAGTATGGCAGTTTACGTGTGCTTTCTTTTTTGATCAGCCTCATTTAGGACGTGCAAATCAACTTTCTTTACATATGGGGTTGCAAGCAGGCAGTAAGTGATTGCAAAACAAAACTCCAGAATTGTTTTTGACCAAACTATGCAAGATAAACAGTACATCTCTATAAAAAAAAAATAAAAAAAACAAGGAATCACAATTCAAAAAATCAAATGAATGTGTGGTGTTTTTTTTAAATCATATATATATATATATATATATATATATATATATATTATTTAAATAACTTTACCTAAAAAAAAGTAATTTGTTTTTCGCTAATCGTTTTAAACACGGCAAATTGATTCTTCACTCCGCCCATACAGTGAAAACAGTGTCAAAGGAAAAATTCACTGTACATTTAATTATATTCTAAAGTGCAGTTTAACTTAAAACGTCTTTCTTTATATAAACCACGTCATACTAAACAAAACTACCTTGATTTGTTTGGTTACTGAGAAAGCTTTATTTGCTGTAATACTTCAGCCAAACAAAATAAGAATAACATCGAAGTTTGTATGAAAACACCAAGGAAACAGCTCTTTCCCGCCAAAACTCTTTCTATCACTTTCGTGCAGAAAATTCCACTGTTACCAGTGCTTCTGAGGCCGGTTTCAAGGTATTAAATTCTCTCAGCTGCACCAAAAATAAAAAAAAAGAAGATGATTAACGACGTAAACTTATGGCTTTTGAACTCGAGCTCAGTTCGCGAGTTGCTCAATGACAGTTACATTTTCTTTTTTTTTTTTTAAATTGCGAAAGGCGGTGGCATAATTTCATAAAAAAAGGGGCAGACTCGTCTAAGACACAACGTATATGTTTATACTAACCGATATAAGATCACCTTTACATGTACAATTATATCTATCTCTGCTTGTCTTTCTCAATCACTCCCTTTGTCAGTCTGCGTGCGTTTACGCGTACGCGTCTAAGTTTTTGTTTGTTCTTTTCGCATCCTAATATGCTTGCATCAGATGCCACGCTGAATTGACGAGAGAAGTGGAAGTTAGAAACAAAGCTAACCTCTCTAATTAGCGCAGGGCACAGCATGTCGCTCGTGTCCAGTTTGCTTTCCGTTTTTATTTTCTTGTTTCTTTTTTTATTAATTAAAAAGAAACTAGATTTACATGGACAACATCAAATCACAGAGCAACAATAATAAAAACGTATTTCCGAGGATAGTTTTGCGGGAAAGAATTTTTTGTGAAAAAGGGGTTCTTGTGGAAAATCATCATAGTGAAATTGGGGTGGCTTAAACCGCAATTTAAATAATAACAATGTCTATTCTTCGCGTTCAACTCAATGAATTAGTGATATGTCAATTTTAAGATATCAATGCCTCGTTGACTTTGCAAAAAAGTGCCATTGGTTGCTTGCACCTTCTAGAAACTGGGAAGCTATCTCTTCGGAAGCCAGCCTGCAGTGTGATTGTTATATGTTAAATTTATTTGCTCGGATATATGAGAAGCAGAGCACAGCTAGAGGTCATTTTTAGGTGTACCCCAGACCTCATGCAACGTCACCCTCAACGTGTCGGCCCGAAGAACCAAAGTTCCGTACGCGCGCGCTTCCGTCGCCACAGCTTTGCACGCGATAAGGCGCCACAGGCTGCTGAGCGCGTCTCAATGAGCGCATTAAGTCCGCGCTCATTTATTGCTACTCCGACGCTCTGAGTTTCATACTCTGAGCGCAGCAACTAAACGCAGCATAGCGTACAGAAGCGCGACACACCGAAACTATCGACGAGCCGCATGAGCCACTTTCGACCGCACGCTTATGACGAACTCAGCATCTCGTGAAAACGGGTGGCAGAAGCCGAAATTATTTCCAAGCCTTAAATTAATTAACGCCTGTATAAAACGGCAGATTGTAAAGTAAAAAAAAAAAATGACGGTGACGTTAGGAAGTTTTGACGATTGTTTTACTATTCCTTAAAGATTTGAAGACTCGCTTCGAGCACATATGCGGAAAGTTTCTTTGACCGATATACTTATTGACGATGCATGCTGTTCATATTTAATGAAATACAACATTCTTGTTGACGCAAGAAACTGTCAAACTTGTCAGATGTTCCGAGGTTCCACCTTGCAGCACGACACGGAACCCGTCAATGTGCTACGATACGGAGGCATGAACAAACCTCTTCCGCAACGTTAACTCATGTTTCGGCTTTCAAACCGAAGTGCATTTATTCGCTGGGTTAAGCAAAAAACAGCGGTCCGAGTGTCCTCTCATCTCGACAACTTTTCTTACGCTGTGCTATCGGCACGCCACCGTTCGATAGATGAACTACATTTTCAGGCAAGATGCACGAACAAACCTTTTCCGCAACGCTAACTGATGTTCCGGCTTTCCAATTGAAGTATATTTATGCACTGGGCTAAGCAATTTTAAAAAGGCAACAGTCAGAATGTCTTCTCCTCTGAACAACTTTTTTTGTCGCTTTGCTATCGGCACCCTATCCGTTCGATAGATGAATTCGTTTTCAGGCGAGATGCACGAACAAACATTGTCGTATATCATCAGCGGTGTCTTTCGTTTGTCGGTTGTCGCGGTTGCCGAAGCGCTGATGTGAGCACAAGTCAACCTCTCCCTCTTTCCCAGGCGCTGACAAACTGACAGACACCGCAGGGCTTTCGTCAAAACAAGCCCTTTCGTTTTGAGCAAAGTCACGCGCACAGCTGGCGCGGAGTCGAAGAGGAGGAGGCGCCGCGCAACACCCCCTAGATAACAAGTCCGTAGGGCTAAGTGAGATGGCTTAATCAGACAAGGCCAACGCGGGGCACAGATTGGAAGCGAGTGCAGCGTCAGCGCTCGGCTTCAAGTCAAGTTTGAGCAGAACGTTGACGCAATCGTCGAGTCAAATCTGTGCCCAGCGTTGGCCTTCCCTGATGCACCTCATCCAGCAAACACTACGGCTTTGTTATGTAGGAGGTGTTGCGCCGCGTCGCGGCGGGATGCGGGCGAGCTCAGTTGCCGCTCAGCTGTAGCCGGTTGTTCTTCTCTGTGGGTTTCCGTAGTAGCGGTGCGTGGGCTGGGATGTGTGTG